TAAATTTATACTTAATTAAGTTTTCTATTACTAAATAATATTAATTTATATAAGTATTATATAAAAGTAAAACTATTTATATAATCTTAATTAAAGTATAACTATAGCTTTAGCTATTAATATATATATTTAATTTATTATAAATTTTAACTATTCTTTTAAGTTCTTTTTAATAATAGTCTATATAATACAGAAAAAAACTTTACCTCTGTCTAGATACTACTACTATAACTATCTAACAATCTGTGTCAAGGGATATCCCTACCTCTTTACTACAATAAGATTACCTGTAGAAGCGCATGTTAACTAGCCTTGATGAAAGACGCTGTAGAAAGAGTTAAGATGCCTACACGTATACAAGTCAAATCTCCCTGCTATGACTAATAAGCTCTGAACCAAACACCCAGCAATTTCTCTGCACTTAGGCCGCCTTCACAAAAAGCATTCATACAGTCCTCCTTCGAACCGATAATCGCAGCGTGCCACACTTCTTTCCACTGTTAAAATGCAAAGCGAGCCTTGAGATCGCGGCTCCATCCTAGGCTAATGCGGGAATTGCTCTGTAAAGTAGATATTCTTCCGGCCCTTCAACTCGTACCCGCCCTCTACCTTTGTCCACCGAGCCCTACTTGTATCGACTTTGTCTCCATTGGAATTTAGATACTAGAGTTTTCTAGCAACTAAATGCTTTTCGATCCGGACCTTCTTGCGCTTGTGTTGCCTATGAGAAGACCCGACTTCAGTCTTTTGATCGTCATCGTCTTGACTTTGATCGGCCTGTCGAGATGATCCTCCAACAGAGGCCTCCAACTCATCCCGTTGGCATGCTTCAGAAGGGTCAACAGTGCATTCACCGGCAGCACGGGTCGGTTGAGGCAAATCGTCGGCGTCTTGAGTTTGTGTGTCATGAGCGCCACCCTCCCAGCCCATATCATGAGGCTCTAGCAAGAGATGATCATCCTGAGACAGCTCCGCCTTGGTGGCACCTGAAGTGTTATGGACAAATCCCTTGCCATTGTATCGCCAGCTATCCAACGGGGGATACGAGTAACCGATCGCCCTGTCGCCACTCGTAGCCATCATAATCAAAGACCAAAGAGCTAGCTTGATGGTGAGAACCTCTTTCCCATGGGCATTCCAGGGAATGGCGGCATATTCGGGATCATGGTAACTCCATTCCAACGGGCTATCATCACTGTAAAATGGACTCGAGCCGTCGACTGACCCCATCGTGGCATCCGAACTGTGTCTCTGATGGCCAACAAAAACAGCGGCCTGCCTTCGCGGACGTGTTTGGGCCAGGCCATCACCTATAAGCTCACGAGTAATCCTGAGAACAACAATATTGGCATCGGTCATAATGAAGCCGTATCTAGTCCGGTACCTAGCTATGTATGTCAGTTCTTGTGCAAGGACCTTTTGCCACTCGTTGAAGCTGCCTAGGTCCTCTGACATTCAAGGCGCCCACTTCGCGTCGAGTTTAGTGTCTCCCGGGAGAATGTTGGCGAACTGTCCGTGTTCGGTCATGTATTCAGTCGAGATCGCTGACCAGTCAAGCCTGTCCTCAAACCCACATCGACTTCCACGCCCGAGATGTGGATGACCCTGTTGATGCTCAAGCGCGTAGTTGACACATGGACTCACGAATCGCCTAAGCATGTCTTCCAGAGTCTCTTCGTTATTGACGATCAAATCTAGCTCCAAGGCCCGTGGTTCCGACGAGCCACGATACTCCGAAGCAAGCTTTCGTCGGAAGATTCGAGTCGAGTGTCGTAGTTGGATTCGTCCCACGTCCTCCACCCGCCCGGTTCTATATATGTTTCAGTGGTAGTATTGGAACCTCCTACGACGGCCTGGGAGTTGACCGCAACATTTCGCCTTGTAAGAGCTTCGAGAAGCGTTGGCATGTTTCCTATGTCTAGTAGCTCACAGAGATTAGCTCGAATAGCGGCGCCTGTTTTTCTTTGACTTGCCTTAAAAATACAGGATGATAGTCTCAAGCAAACCCAGTCCAGGGTCGGATTTCGAGTGTGTTTGGATGTTTTCTGTCGGAGTGAAACTTGAAGTAGGACGGGAATATGACGCTATTTTATATTCACTCATATAGACCAAGTCCTTGACTGATTTCTAACAATTCACCTTGTCACTTGCCCTTGAGTTATTGGCCTTGGGACGGATCTTGGAAGGCTGCAGCTAAACTTTCCAATCAATGGTTCCGACTTCTTTCACCCAATACTAACAAGATCATTCAATGGACATCTATGACTCCGCCGCCTTGATCTTCATGCAGGACGTACGCAACGAGAATCAAACACATCGATGAAAGAAGTACATTATTCTCTCATTGGTGAGATGGTGCACCGTACTATGCAAAGCGATGATCCAGATGGCATTGTATACTTCGATGACTGGTTCGAGGATAGCTTCCGTTACCGTCAAAGGTGGCCAGCTTACATATGCAAGTAGGCGACCATTCCGAAACCTGTATCCGTGGAGTAATCATAGACAAATCTTGACTGATGCTAGTATTGTATGGTGTGGAATCCTTCGACGAGTAAGGTTTAGTTATAAAGGGTTTGCCAAGGCATGGTCCTCCTCTATGAAGTTGCATGGTTTCGCCTCGCCGTATCGATACGATCTACGTTTTGCTACATCCTCAAGTTACGAGGGAATACCACATACTTGAAAGTGCTATATTGGCACTTCCAATAGCCTCTATGCAGGGACCTTGGAGGGTGTGATAGAGGTTTCTTGTTTCAACAAAGTCCAAAGGAATATTCTACTACGTATGACTACGGGAAGTCCTCGAATCTAAATATTGTGACCAATGGCGCAGTCCCGCGATCCAGTACTCAACGGCTTCCGGTTTTGCACCAGCATCGAGTAATGCCACCTGATCCAAAGAATCAGTCGTCAGCTTCGTTTGGCCTCGACTTCTGAGGATGTCGCAGATAGATAAGAGGATCGTTCGAGTTGCACGTCCGCCGGTCATTTGAAACTTTGCAATGTCTTTCATTGCTTCTTTCCAATAAAGGAATGCGCCGTCATTGTTGGACTCAACGTGATGGATCTTTGCCATAGTGATATGCAAACGTAGCCTTTCGAGTTTCAACAGACCGGGACGAGACTCGACTTCCAAGCAGATGCTTTCAGCTTCTCTATAGCGTTCTTGCGCAAATAGAGTTTCAGCAAGAGACACTTGTAGTAGAGATTTGCCTGTAGAGACACCCCTTTGGTCTCGGCGGGTGATTTCTGCGCGAAGGTGACGTTCGCCAGATGTAGGCTGATTGAGCTCTCGCAGCGTATCTGCAAGCTCGCAAGTAAGATCACGAAAGTCTTCATAAAAGCTTAGATCATTTTCCTGCTCTGCTGATGTCTGAGCCCTCTCAAGATACGTCAGCGATTCTCTGAATACACCTTGGTACCGTAGAATCTTTCCAAGCATGATGTTCTTCCGAAACTCGACGATACGTTCAAGTGGTGATGGGATGCTGTGGAGGGGTCTCCAATCTTCCAGTAATCTCTTAGCAGTAGACAGGTCTTCGGTCTGGATGCAGTTCAAAGAACGCTGAATGGCGGCTTGGCCGGCTGCTGAATGCATCCTGATATCCATGGTCATCGATGTCGTGTCCCGGCCGATATTGTCAAGGCAACTACTAGCCTGGTTCATAGTTCCAGAAATTCTATCTAGAAGACATCGTGATTGCGCGATTAAAGAGTGAATGTACTGATCCCCCAGACCGAGCGCAGCATGTTCCGCCTGGTCCACCATGAAACGTTTCCACGCCATGTTGGGAAACCGAGATGCCTCCAGGAGCGTAAGGGCAAGGTCGGTTCTTACACCTGCAGGCATGTGCATAGAGTGTTCATGAGATGTCTGTAGAGCGTGTCTCAAATGCGGTAGGAATAGCTCTGTGGCGGGAGTACTGCGACTTCTGTTAGGCTGTAAAGGTAAATCTGTTGACGGTTAAACTTACACGGACTCGATATATTTCCAGGGGATTGCTCGATATATAATAATCAAGGCTTGGGACTTAAAGAATAAGAGGTTCTCTGGTAACAACCTCTCGCGTATACGACTCACAACAATTTCGTCCAAGTTGTAGGTCTCGTCAGCGTTCTTTGAAATAGCTGACGACAGTTCCAACTCATGAAAGGCATCACTCAATCTTGAGCTGCTGGAGAGCAAGCTATAGAACTCTGGGGCAATACCAGCGTTAACAGCATCTACCTCTTCTACTTCGCCCCGCGTGTTCCAGCGTCTCCGAGGTGCAGCCTCACCAGAGAGAAGATCTAATGGAACTTTCTCAGAGACCACAAGAACGGATAAGAATGCCAATAAGATGCTGGCATCTTCTGAGTAGCCACTTCTTGATCCAGGGCAAGACTCAGAGACAGCTGCTATGGAAGAGGCCTTCCACGGGGACTCTGCTTGTGCGGCGGTATGTAGAGGTCTACAGGTGGATGCGATGGCAGGCCCGGGGCTAGTTTGGCTATGTCGAGGCATGTTCGCCATAGTAGGCAGAGAACTAGATTGTAAGGTGAGCCTCGCTTCCGCTTAGGAGGCGAAGATTTCTGGCTTCTTGCCCGAAACAGGTAGGGCGCCTCGGCTTCGCTCCGTTTGAGGATTTCCGTCTGCGACTGATAAGTTTAGCTGAAAATCAAAGTGAGTCGCCACCTTACCTCTGTCGCAGTAATGTCTTAATACTGCCTTGTTCGAAGTTTGTGACAAAGGCACGACATCATACAGTATTCGGGGCTAGTGAGGAATGGACGATGAGGAGACTAAAATGGCGGGGTCTTGTGCTTATTTGTGATAGTTTCATATCTCTGCCTCTTCAACAGCGCAACTAACCCGATCCGTGCACATCTTGTATGCCGTACAAGGTTCGCACAAATTGAGCTTAGTGCATAGCAACGAGCCTGGATAGTATTATCTTTTAAAGATTAAACACCAACACTCTTCTAAAGGGTAATAGTAATGGATAAATTATAATTAAAATCTTTAATAAATGCCTTTTGCTTTTAATTTATATTTAATTCTAAACTTATTTTATATATTAAAAGGTTAGTTATGTAATTAATTAATTAAGAATAATTTTAATATATGTAAAAGTTTTAATTCTTAATTAATATTATTTTATAAATTTCTATTTCTTATTTATATAATACTTAAATATAGCTTAGTTAGTAGAGTATTAATTAAGTAAAATATCTATAGCCTTAGTAACTTATTCGCCGTCCATGGCCCATAGCGTTTCGCATACCATCCATACCCGCCAGCATGAACAATATCTGACAAATCCACAAGGACTCCGCTCTTCCAATTCCTTGCGGCAGGAGAGGAGCTATGACTAAATCCAGAAAGCCAAAAGAATTTATCAGCTTCCTCTACAACATCTGGGCGACTTTCGCCTTCTTTGACATATTCATACACTATTGCAGTAATTCCTTCTGTGTCGATATGGAGCGGCAAAACTTACCGACTTGAAGAACCGGTGGCCTTAGCTCTTTGGGTAACTCTAGTAATACATGGCCACTAAACTTTGTCCACCCATAAAACTTCCTGATGCGTGGGATCGTTACTATTTCCTCGAGATGTGTTCCTTGGGCCGATGTATTCATTTGGCGGCTTTCGTTGGAAAACTGATAAAGGTTGGCTAAAGTGTCGTCTTTAGTTCTTGGGCTGGCATTCACCATAATTGGAGTGGTCGCCTATTAAATTGCTGTCTCGAGCATTTGAGGAAGGGCAGCATTATGGCATTCCCTCTGGGCGGCAAAGTAGTGATGAAAGTCCGGCTGATTGGCATCCCAGAACTGAAGAAGAAAGTCAGAAAAGGCTAGCCGTACTATTGACATATAGTATGCTTACCACCTCGAGGGTATAAAGGCCATGCGCTCCGAACCAAACCTTCCAGATGTGTCTATCGAGCCCACCACCAACGTGTGAGGAATGGGTCCAATCAATAGTGGCCGGATCAAACAGGCACCGCCGGAGGCGTGGCCTCTTGAAGTCTGCAGCAGAGCAACTCGGGGGACTAGACATGAGCATGTCATCGCGAAATGCAACTGTTGCCGCTCGTGTTTGAGCTTTCTCAAGGACTCTGATTTCTTGCGCGCGACGAAGCCTTGATATGTATTCTTGCATGGCTGTTGTTGTATGTGTATGTGTGTGCAAGAGGCAAGATTGAGTTGCTTGTATTTAGCAAACATAATCCAGCTAAGAAATAACATGGACATGGGAAGTCGGCATGAAGTCTGTTAGCATCCCCATTGCCGGTCGGCTTGCAGCCAATCCAAACTGCCAAGTGACGCAACCTCGCAAGGGAGCATTACAGTCTAGGCCCTGTTTGCAAAAACACAGAACAAGGCCTGTTTAATATTTAAAACAGTAAGATTACTGAGATTATTATTCGGGGCTAGGTTGCTTTTGTGCTAATCATTTGCGAGCTCCATGACCTCAATCTTTGCCCAAAACACATATGAAATGAATAAATTGATTAATGTTGTTTAGGCATGAGACCATTGGCTACCACTTTTAGCATTTGGCCTCGAAGAGACAGCCTCTTTGAGTCGATAAAGAACAGCCTGGCTCCTTTTCTGGCGAGTATTTGACGGAGGATGGTCAATCCTCCCTGGTTGTACTGCCGTCTTTTACAGAATGTGAGGGACCAGATACGATTCAACATCTCCGCTACTGCATCCTAAAATTGGGGGTTTATGTCGACAAGCTCCAAGTCGTTAAGTGAGGGTATACTGCACACGTCTAAGGTATCTTCATTATTATCTTCAGCATTACCCGCAGACTCAGTTTCCATTTTATTGCTCTCTCTTTCAGTAACGGAATCGTCTCCGCGCTTTACATAATATGAGCGCTAAGAACAAGGAAGTAAAATCCCACGTCCCCCCCGGGGCTCTCTCTTTATAATAAGGTTATAATAAGTTAAAAGACGCTTTAGCCCTAAGTATATAAAGATAAAGAATACTAATAAAATATTTATAATAAACTTATTATTTTTATTATTTAAACTATTAAATATTTAAGTATTAAGTTTTT